GTGACGAGGGGAGGCTTTCTGAGCGCAAGGGTGTAAAGGGATTTTCTGCTCCCCCTCAGTCCTCAGGGGTCGCCACTTTGGTTCCTGGCAGACCCCAACAACCATCCTGCAAGGACCTGACTCTGTTTCCCTCAGACTAAGGCTGTGACTCCAGGGCCCTGAGACTGAAGAGAGAAACTCACTCTTACAAGTCGGCCTCTCTGTGAGCCCCGGAGACAAGACAGAACTGAGTTGTACCGTGACCCTGTGAGTTTGGGCCTTCCTTACTCCCCACAGCCCAATACCACGACTCACGAATTCACGCGGCCCTCTCCGCTTCCTTCACCTGAAGCGCACACTTCACAAAAGAACCTCACGTTGCCCCGACCCTTCCATGCGCTACTCAGTGGACGTCACTTCCGGCAACGTGCCTGTCGTGTCCTATGGCTGACAAGGGGCGGAACGGGATTCTCTGTGTCCCCTCTGTTATTCTCCGGGTCCCCTCTGTCCTCTCTGGGGGTCGTCACTTTAGTTCCGGCCAGAGCGCGGACCTCTGCCGTGTACGGACCTTAGTCTGTTCCTCCCAGAGGAAGCCTTGCAATCCTAGATTCCCCTGAGCCGCAAAGGGTGCTCACAACAAAATCTTTCTCTGGCGTGCAGGCCTGACTAAAAAGTGAGATCTGGAGGGTTTGGAGACCCTGCCTATGGGCTGCACTTGCTCAGTCCACCCTCAGGTCGTAAGTTTACACAACACAGTCCAGTCCCTCCTTGAAGACGGAAACTGAAATCAAGTCTATTACACTGATCTGACCCCACGAGTGTGCATCTCTGGGGGTCATATCAGGTGACGCGTGCGTGGTCTGACAGGAGGAGCCAAACAATAATCTGCAGATTCCTCCGTTCGTCGTCTTTGCCAGCGGGGTTCGGTCTCTGGTCCTGCCCACCGCAGTCAGCTGCCCTCAGTCTCTGATAGTCCCCATGGTGACAGCCATGGGAAGGAAGGAGAGTTGTCAGGTTGACTTCGCTGCCCAGGATCTCCGGGGCTGAACTGAGGGGCCGCACCGAGGGGCCGCACCGAGGAGCCAAATATTGTGCTGACCTCTTCAAGGGCAACCACATCTTCCTAGGAGGGCTCGTCACCAGCCAGAGGCGGATCTCCCGTCCTTTCCTTCTAAAAGATGGATGTTGAGTGGGAAGAGGGTGAGCGGCAGCATGGAGGTTGGGTAAGTCCTGCTTCTGTGAAGGGATCCAATTTTCTTTTTTTTTTTTTTTTTTTTTTTTTTTTTTTTTTTTTGGTCTTTTGAGACAAGGTCTCGATATGCAGTTCAGACCGGCCTTGAACTCACTTTGTAGCCCAGGCTGGTCTCAAACTCACAATAATCTTACTGCCTCAGCCTCGCGAGTGCTGGGATTACAGACATGCGCCACCACGCCCGGCAAAGGGAGTTAATTTTCGGTAGTCCAGAGCATGACTGTTACCTTTCAATGCCCATTTAGAGTCAAGAGGCTATTTTACATCTCTACTAAATGTCTGTATGGACTTTAAATCAATAGAAAATATATAAACTGTACATCTAGGCTATCGATATGTATAGGTTAAAAAAGCATATGTGTACATGTATTAGTGAATATACTATATATGTTGAACTGTTGTTTTAAGTGTATCTTTAAAGAAATGGTTGAGCACATGCACGTAGATATGCTACATATACTTATTAAAGAATATCTACTGTCACTATGCATGATTCACTGTTCTACATGCTACTCTTACTCTAGCACATTGCTTACAGTCCATTAAAGTCTTCAGTCTCCTCCAGGGCTTCCTCAAAGAAATGTTCTTTACATATGGTTGCTATGTATGCTTGCTAGGTTTTGTTTCCTCTCTCTTGTTAGTTTCTAGGGTTAAATTGGGAAGCACAAGATAGTAACCCACGCTTGGTTTTCATTTTGGCGGCTACAGGGAAGGTACTAAACTATAAGGAATTTAAGGGAAGTTGAGTTTTACAGTTTTGTGACACACTGCTCTATTGATTATACACTTTTTTTACCCGAATCTGTCAGCACAGTTGCCTCTGTAAAGACTGTAATCATCTTTGTCAGGCTTCCTTTTAGATATAGTGTTTCTAAGATTTAGTTGCTGTTACAAATGTCATATTATTTATTAGTTGCTCTAATCCAAAGGGTTTTTTGTGTCAAACATATTTCAGTTTGGCCATACTAATCAGATGTCTACCTGGTTCTCAAGTCTCAATCACTTAAATATTACATCCCACCTCCTGTAAATTTTTATGGTACACAATGATATTGTCGCTTAAACATTCTTTTACCTGTTAGTATCCCTTACTTATTCTGGTAATCATAGCTCTAACTTTGTGTCTCAGTGCTGTGGTGAAACATACACACATTAATGTACATTCATGTCTTCTTGCTGACTTTAAGCATAACTATTCTACCATTTCCTTTTTGTGTGTGTGTGCTGGGAGTCGAACTCAGGACCTTGCACTTGCCAGGCAGGCGCTGTAACCACTGTGATATATCCCCAAGCCCCTTGACCGTTTCCTTTTGAGTATGCTTCCTGATGATTTTAGGAAATGGAAGTTTCCTTTTTATACTAGTTAAATAAATATTATTCCATGAACTGATGTTGAATTTCTTCCAAACTCTTTTCCTATATCCACTCACATGATTAAATATTTGATATATTTTCTATGTGACAAATTAAAAGGAAAAGATTGTTTTCCAATGCTAAATCATATTGTCATTATTTGGAACAAACCTCTTTATTTAGTTTCCTTCTATGCTAGAGATGCTACTTATTTATCTACGACCTTTGTACCTCTCAGAGTGTTAGCCTAGACTTTTCTTACCCAGGAGCGTGCTCATCTGGTTTATGAATCCAAGAGAGCGAGCCTGGAAGCAGGTACTGAACAAGCACCATTTCTGTGGGCTGTGGCTTCCACACTTCTGACAGGGATTAGCTTGCCGATGGCACTGGAGGAACTGGACTGCAAAACTCCCTTGTCCTGAAACATCTGAGTGTGGCTTGAGCACTGAGGACTTTTACTTCCTGCACTGGAATTCATGTTTTCTCAGTCTGTTTGGAACAGTTTGGACATTTACTAATTTTGTTACTAGAATGTGATCGGGGTCTCTTAGGACTCACCCACAGTCTGTTTGGAACAGTTTGGCCATTTACTAATTTTGTTACTAAAATGTGATCGGGGTCTCTTAGGACTCCACCCACAATGGATGCTATTGTCATGGAAGCTTTTTATTACAGAAAGCCCGAAACATATAATACATAGGATAGTATGGTGGATGCACTACACATCTTTTGCTATACAGCAAATCTGGTTCCAGTGAGTTCCCCCACCCACATGCATTGAATTCATTGGAAGAATGAAAAGCAGATCAGAAGCACCACACTCTTTCTTCTCTCACTATTTCAATGCACATTTCTTATAGATAAGGACATTTAAAAAATAAAGACAATAGTTATGATTTCTAAAAGTATGTAACTCATCAATATCTATGCTCAGTAATTCTTGATGCACTTAGACTTTTCAAAGTAGTTTTTTTCAATGTATATCCAAATATGGTTTATATTGTAATGTTTATTTTGCCCCATAAATCTTCATTATTCTACAGATTTTTCCCTCTATCTCTTTTTTTTGCAATGGTTTTTAGTTGATGAAAAGAACAAACCATTTTTTTCCAGTTGCTCACATGCTGGATTATGCCAAGTGCAACACTGTTGTGTCTTTTAACATATTTTCACTCTTTAGTTTCTAGGAATATGTAGTGCTTCACCTTTTTATTATACATGGGTTTCCCCAGCCCTGAATTCAGTCATTTTTCCAAGGAACACTGGTCCCTTTTATTAGAAATGGTTCTAGACATCAACATCTGCGTATTATGGGTACTCATTGCAACTGGGAAGTTGTCAGATACCGGCTTTCTCTGCTAACTGCACAATGAATACACATGTATATACTCTGTTGACATATACAGACATCCATAACCAGTCATACATGTGAATTTCTGATTCTGTATTTAAATTTGCATGCTCTTATACTAATATCTCCAACTGGAAAGAATTTCCAACAAAATGATTCTCGCTGCCTCTTCTGCTTTACCTATGGCCTCCTACGCCATCAGTGAGAATCCTGGATCCCACCCGCCATGTACCCTACATGAAGTTAATAGTTCATTCCCACTCTACAGGAAGAGCCGATTCACATTTGCTGAACCTACTCCTGCAACCCCATGGGAAGAACCTCTATCGCTGAGTGCAGATGGGAAAATTTTACAGTGCTTAGAGTGCAGTACCATGACTTTTGCTCTCACCAATGTCACCAATTTCCAGCATTACTGAGGGCAGTAATTTGCCAGTATGTGTTTCACTGACAGTGTAAATAGGCTTATTATACACTTAGAGTTTGTTTTGGGTAGCATCCTGCATTCTATGCTCGGGTTGTCCACCTCATAAATATTAAATTCTCATATAGTTAGATTCACTCTTTTTGCTGTAAAGTTGTCTAAGATTTGAAAAATGCATAGTGCTGTCCTCTGAGTCCAGTGAATCCGCTCTTCCACTCACCTTTCTGCTGCTGGACACAGTAGCAGGCACCTGCAATTGAAAGGAGCAAGGAGTTAACAGGATCATGTCTTCAGTCTATAATCAGTTGCTTCCAAGATAGAAGAATCATGGGAAAAGAACATGAAGGAGCAAAGCTGCTCAGTTCATGGTTGTTGGAAATTAGAGAAGGAAAACTGTGCCAGAGAGAAAGGGGCCAGGGATCTTATGTGCTACTTAAGGTCCCACCTCCACGACCCACAAAGTCAGTCAAGAGCATGCTTTCCGAACCTTGCATGTGTTTCCTGAGATACTGCATTTGACTTATCGGGACCGACACTCAAAATTCACCCCTGTCAACTTCACATTCAAACATGTCTCCTTAACTTCTCAATACAATAACAACTTCATATCCCTCATACAATGGGAACTGTAGTAATCTCTTCCACAAGCAGGCACTTGTACCTCTAAGTTATATCCCCAGCCCTTTAATCTGTTCTACAAAGTCTGAAAAATTCCAGCACTCTTCAAAATTCAAAGTCCAAGTCTTCTTTGAGGCCCAAGGTAAACTGTTAGCTATGAAGCATTGGTGTGAGTTTATAGCCAATATCAACTTCATGTAAAGTTCCTACTGCACATGAAGGAGTTAATCAGACGTGGTTTTTAAATATATGCCCAACACATATCCCCTGAAACTCTGTTATCACGTGGGTTCACGTGCAGTCCTGGAGCTGCACAGACATGCTATAACTTATTCTAGCAATGGATGATCCAATGCTCAGCGCTTGTCAAATAGGACAGAGATTTGTACATTTAGCTGTGGTCCTTGGCCCCGGAGGGACCCATAAGCTGCTGCAGGCCCACCTGCCTGCATCCAATCCCTCCTGCAAGCTCTGAGCGGGAGAGTCCTCCAGGAGAACGCACCGAATGCCCAGGTAATGACTTGCATCATCCCCAGCTTCATGGTTGGTGGGTGTGCAGCAACCACATTCAATGTTTTCTTTGCCACAACTAGGAACTGCAGCATGGCCCCACACAGTGATTCTAAAATCATCCTTGGAGCTTATGCCAGCATTTTTAAGCTTTGAAACACCCATGCTTACTTCATTTCAGGATCAGCGGGTTCTGACACATGCATAAGGTGAAAGACCCGCAGTGACAGGTAGAATAGATTCACTGCTCTACACAGTTCCCCTGCCCTCCTCTACCTTTCTTAATTTTCCCTTCCAGGAATAAAAGGCAGTTGGTGATCTTTTTTATCTATATTATTTTACCTTCTCCAGAGTGACAGGCCTGCAATCTCATAGTATATAGCTTTTCAGAGTGATTTGGTAACTTTGAGCTTGTCTCTTTTGTCATGCCTATTCTCACCAAGATGTATCAAATTCAGTGATTTTTCCAAAGCACAAACTTTTCCTTGAGTCAGTTTTCACTGCTCAGTTTTATCCTCTATTTTATTCTTTCCACCTGCACTTTTATTGAGCTCCCCTTCCTCGTGCTTATTTTGGGTTGGTTTCCTCTTGTTCTGGTCCCTACATCTTAAAGACCACATTACTGCCTGACATCATTTTCTTCACTGTAGTCTTCACACTAACTTCTGAGTGCTTTCTCTTTGTCCCAACGTTTTGTGATATATTCATTTCTTCTTCAGGACTGGGATTCACACCCAGGGCTTCAATCATGCATGCCAGGTTAGAGCTCTACCCACTGAGCTACACTGCAAGCCAAAATGATGTACGCATTTGTTTT